TAGCGCAGATAGCCCTCGTGTAGCTTTGCGCGAAATTCAAAACAAACAAACAAACAGTGAGCATTGAACACCTTTATAAGGTTTTATATATAGAAATATTCTAATACCATTTAATGAAATATTTGTATAATATATGGTCAACTACAAAAAATCGTTTTTTGGAAAGATTCCGCATTAATCTGTATTTTATAAAAGCGCCTCAATGCATAGAACATATTTTATCTAAAAGCACATTAATTTTAGTACATGATCTAGAAGTAGAATGTTATCGTGTCTTCTTATAAACATACCATGACAATGCTGTAATGAAACAATTTCTGACAATAAATCTATACGTAAATAATAATTTAGAAACTATAAATGCTGTATAGATAATTACTTTCAATTTGCTTGTTTGGTTGTTATGCACAAGATCAAACTATGGGCTATCTGTGCTTTAGGTATTAAAACCCGGAATTTAGCGATATGAGTTTTTAGACTTACCATTGAGCCAGCGAGGAGCATTACTTTCAACTATTAACTGTCAAAGATCATTATTAACTAACTTTAAGCAAAATTATTTTAGGAGATCATTACTTTCAATTATTAACTGTCAAAGATCATTATTAACTAACTTTAAGCAAAATTATCTTAGGAGTTAATAGTTGAAAGTAATGATCTCCTAAGATAATTTTGATTATAGTTAGTTAATAATGATCTTTGACAGATCATTACTTTCAACTATTAACTGTCAAAGATCATTATTAACTAACTATAAGCAAAATTATCTTAAGAGATCATTACTTTCAACTATTAATTGTCAAAGATCATTATTAACTAACTATATTACCCACCCAGTGGCACAGCGGTATGTCTACGGACTCACAACGCTAGAAACAGGGTTTCGATACCCGTGTTGGGCAGAGTACAGATAGCCCATTGTGTAGCTTTGTGCATAAATTCAAAACAAACAAACTAACTATAAGCAAAAATTATTTTAGGAGATCATACATTTTTATTTAAGTTATGTTTTAATAACAGTTCTGAAACATTTCTTTTATAGCTGCTAAACAATGATAAAGTAACTGAAACATTCAAAAATATATATATTTCAAACTATCATAAAGCCTATTTGTTTTTTAACTCATATGTTTCTCAATAGATGGCAATAGCCTACTCAAATCTCTATAATATGAAAGCAACTCGTGATGAGTATAAATTGTCTGTTAGTGACGAATAACACCAAATATATCAATTCACTTTGTTATCACAAACGGCCTGTTTAAAAAATCCAGTAACTCTTCCAACGCGATTCAATTTATTATTATAATTTTGTTCTTGAATCATTTTAACTTACATTGATGATATCTCCCTTGTCCTCAGCTTGGTAAATCCAGCTGGTTTTGTGAAACTGAAAGAAAAGTTTTGGGTAAAAAAAGAGGAGAGGGTTAAAACACGTGAGATTAAACACACATCTTTTTCTTCCTTTTAAATTGAACAAAGATTATTATTAATCTCTGACCGAGATTTTATGAATGCTGTCTCCACAGTAGAAGTACACAAACAAGTAAAATGACACTAGTTGGATGGATTTTAAAACGATTTTCAATCCCTACTTTGTAATTCATATAGCTAAATGAAGCAGTCTGAATTTACCAACCACTAGGCCATGCCCCGCCTTAAAAAAGAAATAAAAATAATTATTCATTATACAAAAAAGAAGATAGTATTATATACATAGATCTTACTTATTAGCAGGGATATACCTTTCATCATTATATTAAATTTTGTGTTTGGATATATAAGTGGAATACATCCTGCACTACACAGATTCGTTGCTTGGTTGTATAATTGTAATACATCCTGCACTATACAGATTCGTTGCTTGGTTGTATAATTGGAATACATCCTGCACTATACAGATTTTATATTTGGTCATTGTTACGTATTGAGAATTTGAAATAATCCAAAGCCGCGTTAAATAATTTAATGTTTAATAGTTGAACTGTATCCTGGATTTAATGTTTAGAAATAGGCCGATATTTTATTTAATTTACGCTATTTGCCAACAAGATTGATTCACACCGTTTTTGTTTTGAAACAAATACATTTGAATATATATATATATATATATATATACAATAGGATAATTTACAAGAGCAACTATTATGATTAATTATTACAAACTAAGTTTCATAAACAGAAATTTCACTAATTTACAAATAGCCTAAAATGGACTTCCTAGTTCAGAGTCTCCTTGATATCCAGCGAGTTGTACGTACATATAATTGGCGGGAAGCTACCTAGCTTTGTCAGGCACTGAATTGTTGGACCGTTGAAGTAAGATAATATTTTCATAAAACCACTAATGTCCGATGAGAAATTAGTAATAATAATATAATTGTAATACATCCTGCACTATACAGATTTTATGCTTGTTTGTATAATTGGAATACATCCTGCACTATACAGATTTTATGCTTGTTTGTATAATTGGAATACATCCTGCACTATACAGATTTTATGCTTGTTTGTATAATTGGAATACATCCTGCACTATACAGATTTTATGCTTGTTTGTATAATTGGAATACATCCTCCACTATACAGATTCTATGCTTGTTTGTATAATTGGAATACATCCTGCACTATACAGGTTTTATATTTGGTTATATAATTGGAATACATCCTGCACTATACAGATTTTATGCTTGTTTGTATAATTGGAATACATCCTGCACTATACAGATTTTA